TAAAGATCGTATTTCAATTGTATTGGTTTGACGGAACGATAATAACGACAAGCGGACGCCGATGCGTATGAACTCGCCTTTAGATTGTTGAGGCTTGTCAAGTCTTCAATTATAGGTTAATTATTTTTGGAAGACTTATGTCAATTAGTTAATAGTTTTCCTGCTATCGTTCAATTGTACCAAAAATTATTCTTTGTAAGATATAAATTATACTTTGAAATTAAAATGACAAGATAAGAAAGAATAGTTTAATAATCATAAAATTAAAAAAATATAGTAAAATATTGTTTTATTGTATTTTTTTTTTTTTTTTTTTTTTTTTTTATTTTACTTATTTAATTTAAATACAACCAACAAGCGAGCAATATTCTTAATCTTTGGTTTAACCGTTTATATTCCGAGTCATTATCTGTTAATCGCAGACACTGCCGCGTCTACTTGGCCAGTAATGCTGCTAAGTTGTGCTAATTAGTCGAGTTAACTATAATATTATTGTAAAATAGGAGAAAATTCAGTATTTCGACGAGGAGATTATGCTAAGAGCGAGAATACCTGATCGATAAATAGTAGAGCAGTTTCATTTTGATAATTAACCAATCAGCTCTTTCGGCACTCGTGGCAGCGGAAATAAGTTTAGTATTAGTAGAGCCTTAGTGGAGTTGTATATAAACCGTATTGCGAACAGGAAATTATATTTGGTAGTTTCTAACTTCTAAAAAATCTAACTAATCGCTTATTTTTCAATTTGCCGATTAAAGTTTTGGCTGATATTTTCTGTTATTTGACAGTATAAAATATTAAAAAATAAAATAAAATTAATATTAAAAATAAAATTAAAAATAAAATTAAAAATAAAATTAAAAATAAAATGAAAAATAAAATTAAGGAATTATTTATTTAATGTAATTCATTATAAAACTACCTACACCATATTCAAGAAAAAAAAATTAAAAGAAATATATTAAAAGCAATAGTTGAAATATGCAAGCTTATTATTTCCTTTTCAGGCAAAATAACTTTTATAACCACAACAAGCAGATGGGTTTGCCAAGCAATTTCAACCACAACGAGATGTTCCACAAGCAACATCCCAACCTGCCCAATCCATACTTAGGTTACAACGGTAAATACGTCCCGATGTACAACTACTATCAGGGCTACAACTCCAAGGTTAGAAAATACGTATGAATTATATACGCAGAAACCAGAATAATGAAGAGCAATTAGAAGAAATTTAGGTTATTTAGTATTCAATAATTTTATAAAAAGTGTAATTGTTTTAAGTTTTGTAGATAAAAAATATATTTTCTAATGATGTTTAATTTTGCTTTTTACAGATACCTTATTTATTGAATTTTTTTTTTTTTTTTTTTTTTTTTTTTTTTTTTATTGTTAAATATATTTCTATAGTGTCAGAGATATTATATAAATAAATAAAAAACAGTATATTATAATAATTATTAATAGTTAAAAAATAAACGTGTAGACTATATAGTTATTACAGAAGTAAAAAAGAACTGAAACGACACTATTGCCGACTGTATAATAAATCAGAGTTTATATACCCGTTGTTATATACAGGGTTGTTCACACCACATACGACACGGGAGTATTGTAGTAAACGATTTAGATTTTTACAAATTTTAAGTTTTGGGGTTCGTTGAAGGATATTAGAGCTACAATCAGAATATTTTACAAGATACAGAGTGTACAATAAGTAAAAAATGCATAGTTGTATTTTTTTAAAAAATGAACACCTGTATATTATTCTATTTTAGATCTACGATTGAAATAAAGTAAATTTTATAAGGTTCAACTGTAACGTTACGTTTTTGAAATATTTTTCAATCTTTGTGAAATTGGCAGTAAAATTTAAGCTATTTCTTAAGAGGTTCAAAAGTTTTTGATACTAATTTATGAAGTTATCTATTGATAGCATATTGTGTTGCAGTATAAAATATACTACTTTATAGTGGTGTCTAAAATTTTATTTAATATATAGCTTAAACGGCAATAACTTTTAATTTAAATGAAAAAAAAAAAAAAAAAAAAAAAAAAAATTTAATTGTCTATTAATTGTATTATCATTTTTTACCTGTCCTTCAGTTTTCGTAGAAAATGCCTTTTTCTTATAATTTGACCTCATTTAATATATATACCAATGGATATGAATTTAAGATCGCTTCTCTAAAGCACAAATGTACAAAATGTAGAGGCTAATAATATTATCGTTTAACAAAATGATGATATTACTAGCCATTTATATGCAAAGAAACATTTAAATTTCATAAAAAATACTATACATTAATAAATATACCACCATTAATTCCGACCAAATACCGATATCTATTAATTATACTTATTTATGTTCGTAAATAAATTATTCAAATAAATGTGATTGATCAGAAATCAATATAATAAGTATAAAATTGAAATGTTCTCTGTGTTACAAAAAATATTAAGCATTTGTAAAAATAAAATATCATTCTTAGGTGTTACGTTTATCACACTATCTAAGCACAAAAAATTCAGTCTTTTTAGTTTTTGGAGCAATAATTATATCAAGGCAAACATCAATTAATGTAGTTTGAATACTGGAATCTATTATTGGTGTTTTTAAAAATCTTTAAACATTTTTTTTATTTTAATGAAATAAATAAACTATTCGAAATATGTATTTACTTTTAAAAATTTGGTAAACTGTAAAAAAATCTAAAATGTCATATTCATGGGTATATTGATAAATGAATTTAAATTAAAGAAATGCTTTTCTAACTTGAGAAACTGAAGCTATAGTACGAATGGTATAAATACATTGACAGAAATTTAATTGTTCATCTGATTCTCATAAATATACAGGGTGTTCTCATTTAAATTAACAGTATTGCATTTAAAGCTAGTAATTATATAAAAAAGATTTTAGAACTGCTGTATAAGTATATAATTTATTATTTTTTTTTTTTTATTATAATATTTTAAAAACTCAGAAATATTAGTGATAAAAACTTTGAATTCTTGAGAAATGAAATATATATTTAAAAAAAAAAAAAATTTCAAAAAATGAAAAATATTTAAAAACGGTAAGGTATAAGTGTAATAAATTTTATCTAATTTACCTTTATTTTGATCGTAGAAAAGTTAAAATGTATAATTACAGGGGTTCCATTTAATACCAAAATAACTTTGATAATTTCTTTTATTTATTTGGGAACTCTGTATCTGGTAAAAAAATTTTTAATTGTAGCGCGTTCTAATAGCTTCAAACAACAAGACTTACAATTTGTAAAAATCTAATCCTTTAGCTACAATATTCCGTGTCGTATGTGTTGAACAACCATGTATAGTTATTTTGTCTTATAGAAATATATTTACTTTCAAGAATTACCCCCTTAAATATTAGCACGTCGTTAAGGAACATTCTGTATAGTAATATGCTTATAGAACATAAAATTAAAATAATCAAAATCACTTACATCGCTCCCGAGGGTTTTTGGTAAGAGATATACTGCGGTCTTACCTGAAATAAAGAAAAATATATAGTTAATAAATTAAAAAATAAAATAACTAACTCTTACATAAAACTCGTATAAGTAACAATAGACAGTAAGAGCACGGCTAAAGACTAATTTGTCATATAATTATTTAACGAGTTGACTGATGAACTTTGTAAACGAGAGTAGGTAACTGAACACCCATATAACACACAATATCCGCAGGATATTCATAGAACGTCGGAATGTCCCATTATAAGATCATCTTATAAAAACATCTATAGGATATCCTCCAGATATCCTGAAATCCTGTAGATGTCTCAGAATAGAATATCCTATGGATATATCTGTCGTATATCTAATGTACATCCAGCTGGGATATCCAAACATGCTCATGATAATAAAATATCCTAACAATATCGTCTAGATATTTAGGAAAAATAAATAATGTACTACTTTTTATATTACATAAAATGCAATAAACCATACAGATTGATATATATTACGTCAAGGCAACAAAATATCCTGTTGGTATCTTCTGGATAATCTGGATTGAGAATATGAGCTTGGTCACTCCCAGTAATACAGAGAATTTAAAACGCCCCACAGTGGGGTATTTGACACATATAGTTGATCGAAATTTTTTTATGTAGACCTTATATAAATTATTGCTATTTTCAATTAAAGAGGAAATATTATGAACAAAATAAAGGATAATTCGTCGATTCTAAAAAATGAAAGAAAAATCACTGTTCCAGTGTTTCAATGCCACTAATGCCAGTAGTAATATCGCAACTAATACTACTAATGCTACGACTGATCCGCGAGCAATGCCCATACCAGTAAATTCGCTGCTAATGCCAAATTGTGCTATACTTGCTAATGGCACTAATGCGATCACTTTATACACAACAATGCCATCGCGGTTTACACCTCGCATTAGTATATCACTGATTGGTAAATTAGAGGAAACCAAGAATGTTTTTCTCATTTTACCAGCAAAATCGCAAAAAGTCGCAGTATTTTATTTTACTGTATGAAAGTCCAATGTTTACTAAGTTAAACGTATATAGACAATATGCTGAATTCTTCGAAATGCGCAACTAAATCTCTAAGTATAATAAAAATGTCACAAATTTAATCAAATTTTCTGTACGCCTAACTTTTAGTTGCAAAAAAAATCGTTAGTATAGAGAATATCAAAATAAATAATAGGTTTTTGTAGAATACATACCTGCAGCTTGCTGAGCCATTTTCAATCAAAACAATAATATAAATGTAAAAAGAGCACAAGAACAACAACAATTTATAATTTTAAACATAAAATTTAGCCATTTACCTATTATCTGTGAGAAGTACAACTTTGACGTTTCGTTGAAACGGATGAATGCAACTAAACACACCCATAACAACGCCATTCATGGCAGACATGATTTAACTTATCATTTATCTTTTATTGGGCAATCTTAAACACATTTGCTTTTTCGAATTTCGATCACCTTTTTCATGCTAATACCCCACCGTGGCGCCCGCGAAAAAAATTTCCCACAATCCATCTCGACAGTTGTTTATTTTTTATGGATTTTGCATCCTGTATTATTCAGTTCTTTGAGTTAGTGAAATTCGAAGTGAATTCGGTCGTTTGTCGATATTGAATGGGCTTAAAAATGACTGAAACTAACAAAACTGGTTGACTTAGTTTTTTCTTATACTCATAGTTCTAGCCTTGTTCTAGCAGAAATTCTATCCTAACCTCAACTAATGTCGAAAAACGACGAACAACTCTGGGTCTCACAATAAAGAATTTGTGACAAAATTATAGGTGAAAATTTGTTGAAAATCGCTTGTTCTTTATCCCTAAACCCATTTTCGTGTCTGATCTATTCAAACAAAAATCCTATTTTTGGGTTTAAATTGTGAATTTCTGGAATGTGTGGTGTTAGAAATTATATCTATATCCTGTGTGCTAACTTTGATGTAAACTGTTGCTGCTAGACATAAACTGCTAGACTCCATAAAGGGTAGTATAATCTGGTATAATACCATACGATCGAAAAAAACGCCGTCAGAGGTGGCTTGGAAATGAAGATTGCTGTTATTTTGTACGTAAAATATTATGGGGAATGTCATCGATCGTAATTTTCAAGCCAATTGAACGCCGTTTTTTTTTTCGATGGTACAGTATAAATTGAAAGCTCTTAACTCATACATATAAACTTCTAAATTTTGACGCAAAATTCACTGACATAATATGTAGGTATATTTTAGAGCTGTTAATAAAAATATCGAGTGAATAACGTCAAAATGTGGCTAAATAAAACTAAATCGCGAACGTTTTTACTATAAACTAAGGATGAAGTAAGTATTGTCAAATAACAGTCCTCATATAATGTCCTAAAAATATTCTATAATGCTCCCAACATCATCCTTGTATTATCCTAGAAATATCCCAAATAATCGTAAAAGGCTTGCCTAGGGATCTTGAAGATGACTTTTTTTGTCCCACTTGGATATACAATAAATATCCTCTTCTGTTTTTGGATATCCCTAAGATATTTACTATATCCTTGCTGGATATCCTCAAGGTATCTATAGGATTGTGTTGTCTTATATGGGCATAAGTAGCCAGTTGGACACCTCTAGATTCTTAGAGGTTAAATTCCTGGAGGTGGCTTTCGG